ACGTGATAAAATTAATAGTTAAATTAGCAGAAAATTGTAATAAACAACTCTTTCAAAACTAAACAAGTTTAATTTTACTTACGTATCAAAGTTTATTATAAAATCAGCGTATAAAACGAATTAAAATAGCTTACAATTTAAAAATGAACAGAAAAAAACAACGTATACAATAAGGCAAACTTAATATTTAGTTTATATTGCAAAATATCAAAACAACTAAGTTACTATGTATATATATATAATAAAGAAATAATTAAATATATATACAATATAATCATTTAGTTACATGCATGTTTTAGGCTAACAATAGATTATATGTAACGTTTAAACTTAAAAATAAACAAGATATGTCACAAAAATATATTTATTACCTTCCCCACAGTTAGGACGTTTTGAACAAATGGCGACATCAACTTGCTCATCTGAATGCCTTTTCCTTGAATCATTACTATCTTCGGAGCTTGATTGACTTTCTGACATAATTGAGATCTTATTTTAAGCTAAAATGTGTATATCCTAATACATTTATAAAGGTAGTGAAATGTAATTGAGCAGAGGTGAAACCAGCGGGTTAGTAATGTACTTATTAGGTGGTTATGCCAAACGCAAAACCGACATTAACTGTATATTTATATCAAATAAACTGAAAATTATGTTTGATTTAATGAAAATACAATATTTGTTTAAAGCTTAATAGGGGTGTTACTTTAGGGAAATTTGTTATTTTTTCTATAAATTATATTATATTTTAAGATTATAAACTTCTTATAACTTAGTATATGTATACGAAGCAAAATACGCCTTGTGCCAAGAATATAGAAATATATATGACAATACTTATTATGATTTTATTATAAATCTTGCTCGTTTATAGCACATCGCATAATGATAATGATACTAACATGAAACGTTATGACATCGACCATGAATTTCGTTAAATATTATGTCTTAACAAATTTATATTCTTTTTTTATTGTATAAAAAGTTACATTAGATAAGTAAGATATAAAAATTACTTGATATAATCATTAATGGTATTTCATAGCTAGATATATTTAACTAAATACACGAGAGCAATTATTAACTAATGCTATAAATCTCTACAATGGTAAATTTTTTTATATTTTATCTAATTAAAATAGCTATGTATAACAACTCAGCATTTAATTCACTATGCCTGCATTGTCCCTAATATTAATTACTTAACAACTATAATTAAAGAATCGCTCAATATGTAAATTTCCTTTTAATTTACAGACAATTGCATGTGTGGAATAAGCTTTAAAGTAAAAAGGTATTAGGGATAGAGACAAGATAGACGAGGCGCCGATTGGAGCTAGTTGGTCGACAGTAGGTTTTACAAAAAACGTGGTCCATGTAGCAAAAGCATGACCATGAGACTTACTCAGAGGCTTTAGCCTCAAATTTGTCACCCAGATGCAGGGGTGGGCGAATAACGCCTTGAATATCACAGATGGAGAGACAAGAATCGAGTGAAATACGTGTACCAGGGAGATAGTTACGGGGCAAGAGAGAGACTCTGATAGGACCCTGGGAAGGACTACGCAACAATATAATAGACTCTGGTCAACATTCCCAGCACAAAGATGAAGGGGGTAAGAACGAAAGTGTAAAGTGCGAAAGGTTTTCATGAATGCCGTTTGAAGAAGCACACCACACTAGATCAAAATGAGCAAGTTAAAAATTGTGACAGGGAAGGCGTGATAGTGGGATATAGGAAATGTGAATGACCCAGGTCAGAAGGTGGATTTACTCCAATTGTTTAGCACACGTTTGGTCAAAGGATGGGCTTCACTTGTCTCTGACGAGCTGTACTATGGTGCTACGAATGGCGAGACTCACTGACGATGTCGACTACGATGCCGGCGAAACGTCTGGGAACGTACCATGTCCACGGTCCAACTTTGGAAATAATCATGCATACGATGAACTCCGGACTAAGTACGTTCCTCTAAGTCTTCCTACCAATGTGACCAAGTTGCGAAAACAAGGTCAAACAACTTCTTGACGTGAAACGTTTATCAAGCTGCATTATTTATCAAAACAATGGGCGTTTAAGCTTCATTATGTCATATTACGTTCGTTGCTCGGATTATCAAATCAAATTACTTTTGAACATCATCAGGAATGCAGACGATATTAGAATCTTTCAGAAAACAGATAAAAATTGTATTCGTGTGTTTTAAATGAGATATCGGAAGCATTTAGATTAAAAGCCTTGTTGAGGTTTAGTTTAAATATAAAAATTGTTAAAAGGTCTATAATCAAGCACCAACGTGTTGTATGCCATGTCAAAGCTATAATTTTAACGAATACTCAGCACATCCTCTTCTTGATATTATTAGCCTAAATTATTTTATGCAACTATTTGAATCTATTATCTAATGGGCATACTAAATTGGCTATTTTTATAGGCTTATACGTGCTATGAAATAGGTTATCTTCCTATTAAATACATTATTTCTTTGGCTCGTGTCAACTTTAATTATTACAATGCATAAATTAAATAAGTTTCTTCAAAATACTTGCGAAACCTAATTACAATTCTGGAAATTAGTTTATACCATTAATTGTGTCACATTTCTCAGTTAAAACTTTTAATTACGTTTTTTACTAGTTGTTTAATGCGCGCGAATTTATGGACACTTTGGTCCTGGTTTAATCGCGAAACTACGCTCTTTCTCATCACTCCATCAAATGCCTTATCCCCCTTCCCTTTTGACTATTGCTGGACGTCTGATTCCCAAGTGTATTTATGTTTACAGTGGCCTAGGTGCCAGCGAAAGGTGTTTAAAGCAGTTGATTAACTGCCTAGAAACTTTTACGGATCGAAAAGTTGTTGAACTCTCAGCCGACGATCTTTTACATTCGAATTGGCAAAATAATGCCGATCTTATATGTTTTAGTGGAGGCTATGATAAAGGATTTTTATCAGCCTTGGGTATGAGGGGCTGTAATCTTGTTAGGGAATTTGTTATTGGTGGTGGCAGATACTTGGGGATTTGTGCTGGGGCCTACTTTGCCTCCCACATTTGCGAATTTGATAAAGGTGGTGAAAATGAGGTAATCGGCGAGCGGCAAATCGTTCTTTTCAATGGTACGTATGTTCTTGTCCTATATTTGGAACAAAGATAGGATAACTCAGGGATTTATAGTGATAATTGTTCTGGTCGTTCCCATTTTTCGTGTGAAATGCTCTCTATTTAGCTCTTCCTATAATAAATAGCATTATTAAGTAGTCATCCCAGCGATCCCGATACGCCTAGGCTTCGATTATTTTTTTTACATCAGCCACGGTCTTTCTCATTTTATCTCCTCAGTTGTTTCACCAATAAATTAACTATAATTCTAGTAAACAACTTTTTCTGTTTTAGGCACCGCTCGTGGTCCCGTATATCCTGGCTTTGAATATAAATCGGAGAGGGGAAGTCATGCTGCATTTCTCATTACAGATGATGCTCCTTGTCAATTTCCTCGTTTAGTTTCCACTTATTTTAATGGTGGACCCGCTTTTTTCAGTGATAACTGGAATAAAACAACAGTGCTCTATAAATAGTAAGTATTTTTGTTGATATAATTTCCCTGTCACTCCTGGTTGCTTCATATGTGGCCACTAGCATAATCCCCAATTCCACCTAATCTATTCTATTTTTTAAATATTTTCGTTCGCTTATATTCACCAATTCCTCTAAGTTGGCAATTGTTGCTAAGCTTATCTAAATGATCGCCACTAGATTAAGTGAGGACAAAATAGATTTA